ATATTTATTTTATTTATTTTATTTATTTTATTTGTTTTATTTGTTTTATTTATTTTATTTATTTTATTTATTTTATTTATTTTATTTGTTTTATTTATTTTGCTCATTTTATTTATTTTTATTTATTCTATTTATTTTATTTATTTTTATTTGTTTTCATTCGTTTAATCATTTGAATAAAAAAGAAATAAAAATTCGGAGAAAATATAATTTAGTTTTTCTTTCAAAGAAATAAATTTAGTCCATTAATTAAATTAAATTAACTAATTAAATTAAATTAAATTAAAGTAGATTAAATTAAACTAATTTAATTAAATCAAATTAAATTAAACCAAATTAGATTAAATTAAATTAAATCAATTAAATTTAATCGAAGCGAATTAATTAAATTAGTTAAACTAGACTAAATTAAACGAATTAATTAAATTAAACCAATTAAATTAAATTAAATTGATTAAACTAATTAAATTAAGTAAACTACTTGACTTAAATTAATCAAATTAATTAATTTAAATAAACTAATTAAATTAATTAAACTAATCAAATTAATCAAACTAATTAAATTAATTAAATAAATCATTTTTTCTCAGATTGTGCGAAGAGACAAACGACGAAGAAATCGAAAGCATGATTGCTGCTGCTGCACTAGCAGCAGCAAAAACTGACGCAGCAGCAGCAGCAGCAGCAGCAGCAGCAGCACAGCTCTGCGTGCGCGTAAGTCTGGATTAATTACTTAATTCATTTAATTGTAGTTAATTAATTATTTAATTAGTTAATTAAATTAAAGTAATCAATTTAATTAATTTAATTAATTAATTAATTAAATTAATTTAATTAATTTAATTAAATTTAATTAATTATTTATTTTTTTTGCATGCAGAGAGGCTCTTACGAACGCGCTGTGTCTTTGTGGCATTCTTTCGGGGCTTTTGAAGAAGCTTTAAAAATTTGTTTGGAAAAAAAATTAATTATTTCTTTAAAAGGAATTTGTTTGTCTTTAAAAGAAAACAGCAGCAGCAGCAGCAGCAGCAGCAGCAGCAGCAGCAGCAGCAGCAGAGGCGGGGGCTGCAGCAAGCAGCTGCAGCAGCAAGTTGCTGCTGCTGCTGCGCTGCTCGCCAGCTGCGGCAGCAGCAAAGACGCGCTGCTGCTGCTGCTGCAGTGCAATTTGACTCTTCCTGTAAGCTGCTGCTTTTAATTTCTTTTTTAATTTTTAAATTCTTTTTATTCTTTTTTAATTCTTTTTTTAATTCTTTTTTAATTCTTTTTTTGTTTCTTTTTATTCTTTTTTAATTTTTTTCGAATTCGTTTTTAATTCTTCTTTAATTCTTTTTTTTAATTCTCTTTACTTCTTTTGGAATTCCTTTTTAACTCTCTTTTGTCCCTTTTTAATCTTCTTTTTCCCTTTTTTGTTTTTCTTTCATTTAGCGTTTATTTATTTATTCATTTATTTATTTACCATTACTTATTTGTTTACCATTATTTATTTGTTTATTTATTTATCTATCAGTATTTATTTGTTTATCATTATTTATTTATTGATTTATTTGTTTATCATTATTTATTTATTTATTTATTTATTTATTTATTTATTTATTTATTTATTTCAGGCTATAGACTTGTGCATTTCTGCATCTCTTCCTGTACCCTCCGAATTAATTGATCTTTTAATTCAACAAATTCTGCAAACTAAAAATCAACAACTCCAAACCCTAGAGGGCCCCCCAGGGGCCCCCCAGGGGGGCCCCTCTCCAGGGGGCCCCCTAGGGGCCCCCCAGGGGGGCCCCTCTCCAGGGGGCCCCCTAGGGGCCCCCCAGGGGGGCCCCTCTTCAGGGGGCCCCCCAGCTGGGGGGGCCTTAGGGGGGCCCCCAGGAGGGGCCCCCGGACAGGGGGCCCCCCTGGGGGGCCCCCCGGGAGGGGCCCCCTGGACGGGTGGGGGGCCCCCCGGGATTTGCTGCGAGGAGGGGCCCCCGCTTGAAGAGCTGCTGGGGGGTGTTCGTCGTTTGAGTTTGCTGCTGCAGCAGCAGCAGCAATTTGCTGCTGCTGCTGCGCTGCTGGCAAATGTGGGGCTGCGCAGCGAAGCTTTCGAAAGTTTAATTATTTCCAAAGACATAACAGCAATTGTGCACTTCGCAGGTCAGGCCCCACACAACTCTCAGCAGCAGCAGCAGCAGCAGCAGCAGCAGCAGCAGCAGCAGCAGCAGCAGCAGCAGCAGCAGCAGCAGCATCAATAAATAAATTAATAAAGAATTTAAAAAATGAAAAATAAATTAATTGATTAATTAGATTATAAAGGGACTTGTTTGGTTGCAGCTTTGGCTCGGCAGCAGCAAATCTATGAAAAGGCAGCAAACTTTCTGTTTTCGTATTTGACGGAGGAGAAATCTGTCACCTTTGCTGCTGCTGCTGCACCAGCAGCAGCAGCAGAAGCAGCAGCAGCAGCAGCACCGGGAACTGCTGCTGCTGCTGATGCTGCAGTCGCAGCAACTGGCCCTTTAAGCGC